GCCTTAGCCAGTTTGGCTCAATGGTTAGAGGGACAGCCTATGGACTGAAGGGTCCCGAGTTTGATTCTGGTCAAGGGCACGTACCCGGGGTTTCGGGCTCAATCCCCAGAGCAGGGTATGCAGGGGACAGCTGATCAATGATTCTCTCTCTTCATTGATGTTTCTATCTCTCTCCCTCTCTGAAATCAATTAAAAAAATTAAAAAACAAAACAAAACAGCCCTGGCTGTTTTGGCTCAGTGGATAGAGTGTTGGCCTGCAGACTGGAGGGTTCCAGGTTTGATTCCAGTCAAGGGCACATGCCTGGGTTGCGGGCTTGATCTCCAGTAGCGGGCGTGCAGGAGGCACCAATCAATGATTCTCTCTCATCACTGATGTTTCTATCTCTCCCTTCCTCTCTGAAATCAATAAAAATATATTTTTAAAAAGACAACAGGGAGGGGAAATAGCAAGCTTCAAGAAAATTAGGAAGCCCAAACTGAAACAATGCTTTATGTGTAAAAAATACCACCAAGATCATACACACTGAATTCTGGGATGGTAAGCTATGGCCAAATCCAGCTCACAGCCTGTGTTTGTAAATAAAGTTTTATTGGTATGCAGCCACACCCATTTGTTTGTGTTGTTTATGGTCACTTTGACAGAGACTGTGTGGCCCAAAAGCCTAAAATGTTTGCTCTCTGGCCCTTTACAGAATAAGTTTGCTGACCCCCTTTTCATGCCATCAACCCCCTTTTCCCAGTTCAGTGAAACCCGGGGGCCCTTTCTCAGAATAATGCTTATATATTCAAACTAAGCTAAAAATGAATAGGAATACAAAAGGAACTGATTATTTTGAAGTAATTATTAAAAATTAAAAGAAAAAAAAATCTGTGATATGGCAATGTACGTGCTTACCAACGTATTAAATAGTAAGATCCAGTGACTACAACCCTTTCTAAATAGAGAAGAGCATTAAGGAAATTCTGATCATCCTGCAACCCCTCGTATGGAAGGACCTGTGGTTTCTACTGGCAACGAGTTCTGTGCACTGTGATCAGACTGACTGCCAATTGCTGGAACTGAAGGACACATCACGTTTCAGTACAGGTTAGTGAAGGTGAGGATGAAAATCTTTCCCCATCCAACTTCATGGACTTCCTAAATTCTATCCGTGGCCCCGAGGGTGGCCGTGTCTGTGGACTCAGAGGAACACTCTGCTCCAGAATGTTTTACTAGGTCTTCCTGTTACATCCCTGCTGAAGTTAGGGTCAATCTTTTGCCTTTTTTTTTTTTTTTTTTTAAAGCATCAGCAGAGGTGAAACCCAGGAAAGGCAGATAATCAACTCTCACAGAGCTTAACAACAATTTTGACATGGAAATCAACGGTTTAAATCCCTTTGCCATCTTCTTCTTCATTCCCCTTTAACCACAGACTTACTTCTTAAATGAGTGCCCACTACCTTATTCTCAGTGCCCGGCAGTGGGGACTTAACGGGAGTTGGTGGACGAATAAATGACAGACACGTTTAAGTGGACGGATCTTTCTTGAGTTTAAGTTGCTCCTAAGATGATGGACAACGTAATTGATCAAAGCGAAGGAAGGGTAAGACAAAATCCTATTAATTTTACAATTTGTAAAATGTTGTAAGTGCCGCAGATTTAAAAAGGGGAAATGAGCCGAAACCGGTTTGGCTCAGTGGATAGAGCGTCGGCCTGCGGACTGAAGGGCCCTAGGTTCGATTCCGGTCAGGGGCATATACATTGGTTGCGGACACATTGTAGGGGGTGTGCAGGAAGCAGCTGATCGGTGTTTCTCTCTCATCGATGTTTCTGTCTCTCTGTCCCTCTCTCTTCCTCTCTGTAAAAAAATCAATAAAATATATTTTTAAAAAAAGGGGGGGTGTGGGGGGAAATGAGTACTCCATGCATAAATGGAACACATTCAAACTTTTACATAATACACTTTTCTGGGCCAAGTTAAAGATGCTACACTACATGGTAAGGTTATCCATGTACATCAAAACGATTCTGAACCGTTTCCATAAGTGAGTCCTTCAGCTCCTCTACCTTAGGTTGGGGGATTTCTGAAGATCGGTGGGCATTAGTTATGTCAATGTCTTAACATGCTATCGGCCACAAAAATGTCTCCCAAACTCCCACCTACCACTTCTCCCTGTAGCCATGGCCTCGGTCACATATGTCTTCATGCATGCTCTCCTGACCAGGGCAGGATGACTTGCCATGACCTCGGACAACAGGACCCATCATGTCCTCAGATTCAGCTGATGATACGCTGCATAGGCCTGACATAGTAATGGCTTGAAATGGGCTTGTGCGTTGGGATTTGCTCGCTTGCAAGTCTGCCATCCATCGCCATGAGAAGGTCAAGCCTGGCCTGGCCCACTGGTCCGAGGAGGAGGAGGAGGAGGAGGAGGAGAAGGAGGAGGAGGAGGAGAAGAACAGGTGTGTGGAGTGGAGCTGGGGTACCACGGTAAAGGCCAGGGCACAGGCAGGCCACGGCCAGCTGAGCCTCACACTGGGAAGTGAGCCCGGCCAAGATCAGCAGAGCTGCCCAGAGGACACCAGCTGATCCCAACGTGGGAACAGAAAAGGCACGCTGTATCCACTGAGGGTCGGGCTGTCACACTGCATCGCTGTGATACCAGGTAACGGATACAGAGACCAGGATGGAGAAGTGGAGCATTGCCACAACACAAAGCTAAGTTACGGAGCACTGGCTTTCGGACCGGTTGGCAGGAGGAGGCCACCGGGACACCATGGAGTGGCAAACCTTCGGTAACACTGTCCCCCGCAGGAACTGAAAAGGCAGACTACACACCTACTGAACTGGGGACCTGAGCGAAGAGGTCAATTCTAGGCAGAACACCGGAAGTGTCTCACCAGCTGCACATGACGAGCTACCACAGAAAGAGACAAACACACACACAAACCCCTGGCCATTTTCTATATGGGACTTCGAGAGAGAATATAGAAATCAAAGATGCGCTGGGTTGAATAAAGACGCTCATCGTGCCTGGCCGGTGTGGCTCAGTGGTTGGGCACCGACCTATTATGAACCAGAAGGTCACAGTTCGATTCCCGGTGAGGAAACATGCCCAAGTTGTGGGCTGGATCCCCAGGGAAGGGTGTGCAGGAGGCAGCTGATCAACGATTCTCTCTCATCATTGATGCTTCTCTTTCTCTCCCTTTCTCTCTCAAATTTATATATATACACAACACAAAAAGATTCTCATCTCCAGACAGCAGAAGGTTTTCAAAGAAAACAAACGGTGGACAAAGATCCTATCCAGGGAGTTGATCTCAAGACGGCGAGGACTGGGGGCGGGGGAAGGTGAGGAGTGGGGGAGAAAAGACTGAATGAGAAACGAAGGATGTGGATGTAAGTTCTCTGTTAAAACCTCTAAAAGAGTGAAGCTGGTGCCTTGGAGATTCTCTCAGCTGGACAAGGAGTCCTAGAATCTCAAGGATTCTGCCCACAGGAGGTTATGTGCCAAAGTGCCTGCGCTGGGTTCCGAGGACGGCAGCCTCGGGAGGGTCTTCGGTGCGGCTGCCGGCACACACACACCGGGGCTCCAACGTGTTAGGCTGCTCTGCCGGCGGAGCCGTGCCCAGCTGCACGAAAGAGGTGCCCAGCATCCGGCAGCGGAGGCGCAGGCTGAGACCCTCTCCCAAAGGCGTGTTCTCACTCCTTTTCAGAAGTAGCCAAGGAAGGGGAAGGAAAGGATGGGCCATGGAACCATCTAGAAACCAGGGAGCTGAGCCAAAGCTAATCACAAACCACTCCCTGTCCACAAAGCGGGGGGGCCGGGGACCCCCGTCGGAGGGACGTCAGAAAAGTGTGGACCAGTGGCTGCCATGGGCCTCAGTCCTTACCCACTCCCACAACAAGGCGACTGCCGCCGTCCCGGCTCTGGGCCCCGGGAGGGGAGACGGACTTGTGTTTTTACCGCCAGGGTCTCCAGGTGAGAGGACACGTATCCACACCTGACGGAGATCGCGAGATGTTGGACATGGGCGGGTGGGAGTGCATGTGCACATCAGAGAGAGGTGAGTGCTGGCGGGGTGGCTTCCATTCTGTACCCCTCCCGCATCTCTCTGGCCTTGGCCATGGAACCTGTGAGATCTCCTCCTGCAGGTGAGCTCAGCCCCAACCCTTAACACCAGGCCCAAAACAGCATTTTCTTTAGCCAACGGGATACAAGTACAGGTTTGAGATGGGGTTACACACTGAGACACAGTTGCCTGTATTATTGCCACTGCGATGAGAAGGACAAGCCTGGGTAGCCCACTGGTTCTAGAGGGAAGAGGAGATGTATGGGGAGCAGAGCTTAACTCCCCGCCTATCTGCCCCAGCCAAGGCGACGGACCACCAGGTAGCCCACAGCTAACAGATCCCCAGCCAAGGGCAATGGACGCCCAGCCTTCTCCACACAGGTGACGGAGCCCGGCTCACATCACAGTGGTCTAGCCACATCCATGCTGACCCGAGGCATGTGAGCAATGAATACGTAGCATGGTATGCCCCTGGGGTTTCATGCTGGTTGTTACACAGCATCTCTGTACCAATCGCTAACGGATACACTCGCCAAAGGGAAAACACACGCAATTTGTTAAGTTACCTACTCTGCTGAGATTTTTCCCATCAAGCTGTCCCACGCTGAACCAGTCAGAGTATGCTTTAAGGCGGAGGGAAATGACTAAACAAGCCTTATGCAGAGATGTATTAAAAAAACGCACCACTTGTATCTCTGTATTTCGTTTAGCATAGTTCTTCAATTAAATAATAGTAAGCAAATTATAAAGTGACCTAAAGCTATATACAGAGAGTTATAAATGAGAGGTTTCCCCTATTTTACCCAGGAAGGCACTTCTGGGCAGACGAAAAGCAAAACTGCATACAACGGGAGCATCACATGCCCCCAGTTCATGGACGCATGCTGCGCCTGTGCCGGAAGCTGGAGCACGCCAGGGGCACCGAGCGGGGGCGGCGGGACTCACCCGTGTGGGACCGGAGGTGCACGGTGAGCTGGCTGGAGTTGCGGCTGGCGTAGGGGCAGATCTGGCACTTGAAGGGCCGCTCGTCCGAGTGGATCCGCAGGTGCTTGTTGAGGCTGCTGCTGTCGGCCGCGGCGTAGTCACACGTCTTGCACTTGTAGGGCTTCACGCCCGTGTGGCACCGCATGTGGGTCTTCAGCTTGTCCTTCCGGCTGAAGCACTTGCCGCAGACCTCGCACTTGTGGGGCTTGTCCCCTTCAAACACACGGAGGGCGTCAGGAGACAGTGTAAAGGAGAAGGCTCACCTCCCACCGCCTTGCGGAGGGAGTGATACATGATCACCAAAGTCTAGTTAGGAACCCCCCCCCCCCGAGTGGGGGATGGGTGGTTGGCAAAGAGCTACCATCTGGGAGGGGGGCGGGGTACCTCTATTTTGAAGATGGATCTGCTATTACTGGTATTTTCTGATTTTTTCCTACATTGAATATAAATTTCTTACTTATTAAGAATAGAATGCGCCGAAACTGGTTTGGCTCAATGGATAGAGCGTGGGCTTGGGGACTGAAAGGTCCCGGGTTCGATTCCGGTCAAGGACATGTACCTTGGTTGCGGGCATATCCCCAGTAGGGGGTGTGCAAGAGGCAGCTGATCGATGACTCTCTCTCATTGATGTTTCTAACTCTCTCTCTCTCTCTCCCTTCCTCTCTGTACAAAATCAATAAAATATATTAAAAAAAAAAAGAAAAAAAGAAAAAAAAAGAATAGAATGCAACCCGGTATGGCTCAGCGGTTGAGCATGGACCTGGGAACCAGGTTACTGGTTGATTCCAGGATGATTCCAGGTTGGCCGATAAGGGGCATGCAAGGGGCAGCCAATCAATGATGTTCCTCTCCCACCTATGTTTCTGTTTCTCTATCCCTCTCTAAAAATCAATAAATACATATATAAAAAAAGAATAGAATGCAACTTAAAATTTTGAATTACAGCTCAGTAAAATAGAGTGTCCACTGTCCCTCGTATCCATTCTCTCCATTTCCCTTGTCCCCACAGACAGGCCCGAACCCTCAGACCTCTTAGTTGTAGGGGCTCGTGGCTGACCAGCTACAGACCACATCTCTCGGCCTCATGTGCAGCGAGGGGTGATTCTGCGACAGAGAAGGAAAATGTACCCCTTTTGGAAAAAGAAACTGTGTGCTTTCTACCTTTTCTCTCTCCCCTCCTTCGTGTCAGCGGTCACCAGGAGACAGGGTGAACCGGCAGGTGTGGGCAGGTAAGGCCAGTGCACCTGCAGGCGGTGGGGACCGTGACATAACATACTGTGATGGCACAGAAGAAGCGTAACCCCCCACTACCTGCCCCGAACCTGCTCACCTCTGGCCAGGTGTGTGACAGAGAAACAAAGCCCAGCCTTGTCCGAGCTGATGCGGGGTTTCTTTGCTATACCTGCTTCATCTGGACTCTCGAGACACTTGTCAACTGGTCACCCACACGTTTTTTGACGTAAATTGTTCCAATCTCTTTTGTGTTTGTGTGTACCTCTACTTTTTTTTTGTACAAAATGACCTCTTGGCTGACGTCAATTGAAACACTTCCTTTCTGAAAGGCACTGTGCCTCTGAGTAGTTTTACTGAATTTTCTCAACAACAGGAATTAGAATCCAGGACTGTCTTACTTTCTTAGCCAAACACAACCCTGCTTCCGACTGACTACAACTCTTCACATCATTAATAACTACATGACGCCCTAACCGGTTTGGCTCAGTGGATAGAGCATCGGCCTGCGGAATGAAGGGTCCCAGGTTCGATTCCGGCCAAGCGCATGTACCTTAGTTGAGGGCACATCCCCATAGGGGGTGTGGAGAAGGCAGCTGATCAATGTTTCTCTCTCACCAATGTTTCTAACTCTCTATCTCTCTCCCTTCCTCTCTGTAAAAAAAAAAAAAAAAAAAAAAAAAAAAAAAAATCAATAAAATATACTGTATGTTAAAAAAACCCACACTTACATGATTTTTATTTGTATTGATTTCAGAGAGGAAGGGAGAGAGAGAGAGACAGAAACATCAATGATGAGAATATCATCGATTGGTTGCCTCCTGCATACCCCCTATAGGGTGCTGAGCCCACAACTGGTGCATGTACCCTGACCAGGAATCGAACTGTGACCTCCTGTTTCATAATAGGTTGACACTCACCACTGAGCCACGCCATCCAGGCAAAACCCACAGGTTTTTAAGGCTGAAGCATTCCATGTGCAGATGTACTGTGAATTACTGAACCAATTCCATACTTGGCCATTGAAAGAGTAACATAGGTACGTGCATACTGCTGAGGGAAGATGTCCAATAGTCAACGAAAAACAGCAAGCTGCAGTGATAACAATACAACATCTTTGCCAAAAGGCTGAGAAGCTATCATACATATAATATTACCTTAGTAAGAGATGGAAAAAGTAAATTTTGTGTGTGTGTGTGTCTTAGGCTTGGTACAGGAATGCCAAAATCTAAGAATGAGACCTACTGGACGATTAAGACTGGTGACTTATGGGCACCAGATAAGAAGGAGATGGGACGGGAGTTAGGATTTTCACTTTTACTTTATATCAAATATGTAAATAACCAAGGGCTCATATCCATTGTCAGCCCAAACTGATCATTACCATCGTAGAATGAACACCTGGCATTCAAGAACACCCCTAAAAGTGTATGAAATATGACAATTTTATTGTTAAAATGCTAATAGTCCAGTTTAAATATCCAGGAACAATAATTTCTCATTATTGTCAGCTGTTGCCTGGGGTCCCTGTCCGTGTGGCTGCAGCACTGAGCAGGTGCTGGCCGGCTCTGCTGATACAGAGCTCCGCTACTCTTTTTTTTTTTTTTTTTTTTTGTCAAATATAGTTTTACTGACGAGAGAGAGAGAGAGAGAGAAAAAGAGAGAGAGAGATCAATGATGTGAGAGAATCATTGATCGACTGCCTCCTGTATATCCCACACTGGGATAGAGCCTATAACCCGAGTATGTGACCTGACCAGGAATTGAACCGTGATCTTTTATATAATAGGTCGATGTTTATAGGTTTATAAGTCGATGTTCAACCACTGAGCCAAGCCAGTCAGGTGAGCCCTGCTATTCTCGCTCCTGGCCACCTCTGAAAGTAACTAAAGTAAGGACACCTTGTTAACTCTCCGCTTTGAAGATATTAGTGGACATACTGCAGTGATGTAGAAACTACCCTACGAAACCAAGCCTGACTCACTGTATGTAAAAGATGCTTTCTGAAGATCGTGGTCCTTCCTTATGTATACTTTTTAAAAGATCTTTTAATTGATTTTTCTAGCAAGAGAGGATAGAAAGAGAAAAATATCAATGTGAGAGAGATACATCGATCAGCTGCCTCCTGCACGCCCCTGACCGGGGATCCAGCCTGCAACCCAGCCATGTGTTCTGACTGGGAATCAAATCAGCTACCTTTCATGGGACAATGCTCAACCAACTGAGCCACACTAGCCAGGGCCTTACTAATATTTCTAGAATGCGTCCCCAATCCTCAATAATTACAGCACTGTACTCTCGCAATGGCGAATATGTGACACGTGACTGATGGAACTTCAGCATGTGAAAGCCACGTGGAGAAATGCACTGTTTGTTACACTGAGAATGCTTACCAATGCTTGAACCCTAAAAGTGAACATTCTGATCATTAGAATAAACTCAAGTGACATGTCACTGTGAGGTGGACTGGATCCAATGGTGCCACCAGTGCAATGAGGCAATCATGGGCCAGGGTTAAGGAATGTCAGAAACAACCGATCTTCCAAATGCTGAGGCCAAGGTGTGGTCTTCAGGCATGAATGACCCCTAAGCCAGCTCTCAGTGTGTCTAGACCTCATACACTTGTTTTTAAATTTATACATATCTGTATCATCGAATTAAGGGTATCTCATACTTAGTTAAAAAATAGTGTAAAAATGCAACTCCTTTTCCTTGCAGAAAATTGGGAAGACATAAAAACAATATATTAAATAACTTTAAAATCACATTTTTCTATCCTTTTATAAAAAGTATTTCAGAAATCCCCCTTCAAAACTGCATAAATAACACACTCACTGCATCCAATGATACGATGTGAAGATACATAAAATACATGTTACTATCCTTCCCCCTTAGTCCTTTCTTCACCAATCATCTCTCGCTCACACACAAACATCCACGCAGAGACACATTCACAGGATCATCTCCTCAAAAATGACAAAAATAGGTGCATTTAAATTTTAATTCATTCTGGCAAGTCAATGTTCTCAATAGCTGTAGCCGTTCACATTTCCACTAGTGAAGTTCGCTCAGGCCTGTTTTAGTCCTGGATTTATTGCTTTAGGCATTTTCTGCCCAAAGCACGTTTAGGAACAGCATCTTGTTTTTGTTTGTTTGTCTAATGCACTGAGGTTCTATGTCACGTCCTGTGTCTGACTGGTCTGGACCCCCAGCTCTCAGCACAGAGCACGTGTTCAGGGCGCAGGTGCCAAAGAAATGGGACGTACCTGTGTGGATTTTTAAATGGCGCTCCATGTCCTTCATGCCATAGGCAGTCTTGAACTGGCAACCTTCAAAAGGCAAGGAGAGGTTAATATAACACATAATCACTTTAGAGCGGAGAAACTTGATAGGAACTTCCTCAACCAAGTGACGAGAGTTCAATAACCCGCCAGAGACAGGACACACCGGGGTCCCGTGTCCCTGGGGTGATGAACCAAAGTCATGACACCACTCCTGCGCTTCCTGCCCGCTCTGCAGAGCCTACATCTAATCGGGAGGACACCTCAGACAGACCCAATGGAGGGACACCGTACCCAATCACTGGCCTGCAGTTTGCAAAAATGTCAAGGTCACAAAAGAAAAGTGCAGGATGAAAACCAAATGCAATGTGTGATCCTGAGCTGGATCCGGGACCGGGGGAAAGATGTTTTTTTTTTTTTTTTTTTTGACACAGAGACAACTGGTAAAATCTGAATAAGGTCAGTAACTTCACAATCGTGTGTATAAATGGGAATTTCCTGACTTTGATGATTGTACTGTGGTTATAGGAGTTTCCTTGTTCTTAGGAAATACATATCAAGGCATTGAGGGACAAAGGGACAGTGCTGTAAGGGGAAAATATATATGTATATAAGAAAAATGACAAATTACATGTAATATGTTAACATTTTGAAAATCTAGATAATATAGAAAATTTTTTGAATAATTTATTATTTAAAAATATATATATTTTTATGGATTTCAGAGAGGAAGGGAGAGAAAGAGATAGAAACATCAGTGATGGGAGAGAAGCATTGATGGGCTGCCTCCTGCACGCCCTCCACTGGGGATCAAGCATGCGCCCTGACTGGGAATCAAACTGTGGCCTCCTGGCTCATCGCAACACTCAATCCCGAGCCACGCCAGCTGGGCTTGAACCATTTTTGTAACTTTTCTATAATTCTGAAATTATTCCCAAATAAAAATGTGTGGGTTTTTTTGGTTTTGTTTCTTTAAGAACAGAACCTTTCTAGATGTCTTCCTGAGCTACCGCCCTGCAGGGAAAATTCACAGGAACCTGAAACTCTCGCATGTCCCTTTCCAAAGTCCCACGGCTGTGCAAGACTCAAGAGCCTCTGTGCATGGTGACCCGGGAGAGCGGAGGTCGGGCGTGCGGGATGCTGCCCATACGGGAAGGTGACCAGACGTCCCGCTTTTGGTGGGACAGTCCCGATTTTTAGCAATGTGTCCCACGGCGTTTTTTAAAAAAGGGGCAGTCCCGATTTTTAGCAATGTGTCCCACGTCCCATGGCGTTTTTTAAAAAAAGGGGCAGTCCCGATTTTTAACAATGTGTCCCGCGGCATTTTAAAATGCCGCAGGAGGCGGGACACATTGTTAAAAATCGGGACTGTCCCGTCAAAAGCGGGACGCCTGGTCACCTTAGCATGCGGGGCTCTGATTAGTCAGCCAAAGAGTTTGGAGCACTCCTAGGTTGAGCTCATGATCTAGGACCCCGGAGCCTACACAACGTCCCGTCCTCCCCACACGCAGGATACAAGGCTGCCTGTACCTGGGTAGCAACAGTTGAGCCTCTTCTGCGCAGGGGGCGCCGAGGGCTTTTTGGCACGTGACTTGGCGGGCAGAGAGATGACGGTGGTGGTCTGGTTTTCGTTGCTCTCCGTGGGCAGGTACGTCTGGTAGCCATGCTCAAACACAAACTCTGGCGCTGACACTGAAAGACAGGGCGGTTATTCATTTCCATAACACGAACGCCCAGCAGCCATCCCTTTCGCCTGCCTGCCTCTCTGGAGCATGCACGGGGCAGGCTGCTCTCCCAGCACCCCAGCTGCTCAGCGTGTCCGCGTGGCCCCGTGCCAGCCGGCGGAGCCCAGGAGGAGACAGGCGGGGGTTCTGTAAGAGGTCTTCTCCCGGATGAAAGCCAAGCAAACAAGTGGGGGAAGAGAGACAGCGGAGGAATGCTCGTTCCTGCTGCCCTGTCTTTGGACATACTGGAGGGAGGGGGTGATGCCTGCACCTGTGTAAGCACAGGAGACAGCGAGAAGACCAGATGTTGAGCCAGAGTTCTGAAACCATCCAAACCTAGGCTTCTTTTTTTCTTTAAATATATATATATTTTATTGATTTTTTACAGAGAGGAAGGAAGAGGAATAGAGTCAGAAACATCGACGAGAGAGAAACATCGATCAGCCGCCTCCTGCACATCCCCTACTGGGGATCTGCCCGCAACCAAGGCACATTTCCTTGACCGGAATCGAACCCGGGACCCTTCAGTCCGCAGGCCAATGCTCTATCCACTGAGCCAAACCGCTTTCAGCCAAAGCTAGGCTTCTTTAACACACAAGAACTGTCCCCATCACTTACACCAGATAGGTTTTCTGTGAATTCAGGCAAATGCTTCTGGTCCTTTCTTTTTTTGTTTGCTTTTAAACCTCACCGAAGGATATTTTTCCCATTGATTCTTAGAGTGGAAGGAAGAGAGGAAGGGAGAGTAGGAGTGGGGAGAAGGTGGTGGGGAGGACATCGATGTGACAGACACACATCAACTGGCTGCCTGTTGCACACAACCCAGCTGGGTCCAGGGACTGGACCTGCAACCCAGATATATGATCTGGAATCAAACCCGTGACCCTTCGGTGCGTGGGCCGATGCTCTAACCACTGAACCACTCCGCCCAGGGCTTTACCACAAAAATCCTAACAAACACGTGGAAAGAAACTGACTGAAGGGAAGTGAGAAAAGGAAGCGCTGGGGGCATGTGTGTATGTGAGTGTGTGTGTGTGTGTGTGTGTGTGTGTGTGTGTGCAAACGCCAGGCTAACCTGGGACCAACCTCCGTCTCCACCGCTCACTAGCTATGTGGTCTTGACCAAACCAGATTGCTGCTCTTCAGTTCTTTTGCCAGTGAAACGGGGATGTGAGCAGTGACTGTCCATGCAGCCCTTCCTGTCCCACAGACACCTGGGAGGCCAATCAGATCCGCTTGCCCTGGGGTTAAGAATTGGGACTAAGACTGCGTTTTGGCATGGACTTCCCTTCTGAAGAAGAAAAAAAGGCATAAAGCTTGGGGGCTGTCACACAGACAGCACGCTTCTCCCGGTAACAAGCACCCAGACCATCTTGAGGTCTCTTTATTTATTTTTTTTAAAATATATTTTTATTGATTTTGTACAGAGAGGAAGGGAGAGAGATAGAGAGCTAGAAACATCGATGAGAGAGAGTCATCGATCAGCTGCCTCTTGCATACCCCCTACCAGGGATGTGCCCGCAACCAAGGTACATGCCCTTGACCGGAATCGAACCCGGGACCTCTCAGTCCCCAAGCCGATGCTCTATCCATTGAGCCAAACCGGTTTCGGCTTGAGGTCTCTTTAAAATGCAGATTCAGGTCAGCAGCTCTGGGTGGGCCGAGGCTGGGTTTCTAACAAGCTCCTGAGCAGCGGCCACGGTCCTCAGGCCACACTTTGAACCGTGAACATCTGAAATCCCGGATATGTTTCTGGTTCCTGGTGTCCATTGCTTTTTTAATTTTTATTATTTTTAAAAAATATATATTTTTGTTGATTTCAAAGAGAAAGGGAGAGGGAGAGAGATAGAGACATCAATGAGATAGAATCCTTGATTGGCTGCCTCCTGCATGTCCCCAACTGGGGATCAAGCCAGTACCCCAGGCATGTGCCCTGACTAAAACTGAACCCAGACCCTTCAGTCAGTAGGCCAAAACTTTATCTACTGAGCCAAAACGGTTAACGCCACTTTTTAAAATATATTTTAAAAAGTGGCGTTAACCGTTTGGCTATATATATTTATTTTATATATATATTTTATGTATATATATATTTTAATTCATTTCGGAGAGGAAGGGAGAGGGAGAAAGAGATACATTAATGATGAGAGAGAATCACTGATTGGCTGCCTCCTACACACCCTCTACTGGGGATTGAGCCCACAACCTGGCCATGTGCCTGGACTGGGAATCAAACCCTGACCTCCTAGTTATAGGTCAACACTCAACCACTGAACCACCCAGGCTGGGCAGTATCATTCTTTTGAGTTCCAGCCACATCCTTGTCCTTGGTCCTCAGTGACTCCCTGTTTCCTTGTAAATAAAAGCCCCCTCTTGGGCTTAAACCACGATAGCCAGAGCAGGGGTCTGCCACAGGCAACCACAAACCGTCCTCCCCAAAACAAAGTGAGCCTGTGCTAGACTGGGACTTCACTGGGTAGGAACAAAAAACCAACACCACAGCGAAACAGAGCTTCTTTCCCACTCCCCCCCCCCCCCCCCCCCGGCTCACTCCTTCATTCAGATTTCTTGAGCACCTACTATGCGCCAGACACCGATGCCAATAGATTTCCTTCCTTTCTCCCCTTTTCCTGGCCCAGTGGTTCCCAGAGTTAATCATGCACCAGAGATTCTGATGGAGATATCAGGGGTAAAGTCTGTGTATCTTTATAGCTGTATTTTTAAAAGTACTAGATTTTTATTGATTTCAGAGAGAAAGGGAGAGGGAGAGATAGAAACATCAATGATGAGAGCATCACTGATCGGCTGCCTCTTGCACATCTCCTCACTGGAGATCCAGTCCACAACCCGGGCCTGTGCCGTGACCAGGAATCGAACTGTGACCAAGACCTCCTGGTTCACAGGTTGACGCTCAACCACTGAGCTATGCCAGCCGGGCTATAGCTGTATTTTTTAAACAAGATTTCTAGGTAATTCTTCCTTCCCATCAGCTCTGACTCCTGCTCTGGTCCAGTCTACAGAGACTCCAGCTGAGTGGCTCTCCAGAGGGGCCCTTGGCTTGGATTCCACTGCTGAGTCCTCCTCCCTGTCCCTTGTGGCCCAGCCGCCTCCACGGCCGTGGGCCTGGGCCTGTGTCCCATCTTAGCCCATGGGGTCTGCAGTTTCTGGGAAGCACGTCCTCCCTGATAAAGAGCAGCTGTCCCTCTCTCGATCTGTGGACAGGGCTGAGCGAAGGCTGGAGGCAGAAAGCAATGGCAGCCTTCATTTCTCCATGAGGGTCGAGGCCAAAGGACAACACCCACCACCAGGACACCAAAAAGACGCAAAGAACCTGTCATCTTTGAACTGTAGGACGGACCCTGGGTGAGCCCAGCGGCCCGTTCTTGTCTGAAGAGATAACCAATATCTTGCTGCCCGGCCCATGTGTAGTCGGGTGTTCAGGGCAATGGAAAGCACTGGCTGGTTCCCATTCCCGCCTGGGTCATGGGATGTTATCCCGGGAGGGGGCTGGGGCCTGCCCTCTCCACTCAGCTCCAGGGGTTCTTTTGAGAGCTGCCGCCACCAGGAGTTTACTAAGGGACGGTGTGGCTTTGAGACCGGTTCTGACGATTTCTGGCTCTGTCACCCCAAACAAGTTACTTAACCCCTTTGTTCCTTATCTTTGGTAAAATAGGATAATGACTCAGTATTTAATTTATGAAAAGAACTTCAGACCAGCTACTTCATAAGAACCCCTTAAGAATTAGTTATGCCCAGACCAGGAGGTCAGAGTTCAATTCCCGGTCAGGGCACATGTCCGGGTTGTGGGCTCGATCCCCAGTAGGGGGTGTGCATGAGGCAGCTGATCAATGATTCTTTCTCATCATTGATGTTCCTCTTTCTCTCTCTCTTGCCCTTCCTCTCTCTGAAATCAAGAATATACTTAAAAACAACAACAAAGAATTAGCTAGTATTATGTTGCCACACGGTGACAATGCTTACTACATCACTCCTGTGCTCAACAACCTTCAATGGCTCCCCAGCTCCCTCAGAAAGAAAACAGGGCTACTCCCAGGTCACCTTTAGGCACAGTTACCAGATCTGACCTCGAGCGGCGCCACCCACAGACCACCATTCGGAAATGCCCCTTTCCTCCATCTTCCTCCCACAGGCAGGCGATTCTCTCCAGGCTTATATGTTTGGCCTCACTGTGTTTCCCCAGGGGACTCACTACTCCTTTTACTTCCTCACAGGGCTGTGCTCGTCTCTCCCCTCGGGCCTCCTGCCCTGCTCACGGCCTGGAAGTCTCTGAGGGTGAGCCTCTCCACATCTCAGTGGTTCCTGGAGGCAAGTTCTTCACTCCAATGAGAAACAGGGAGCTTCCAAACTAGCGGCGGAGAATAATTTTACTTTCCACCCGACTACGGTAGGACAGAGAGACCCAGGAGCCGAGTGAGGAGGAGGTAGGGTTTAATCAAGGACCAAAGAGCGAGAAATGAGCCTGGACAAGGTCAGGGTGCAGGCACCTGGAGAAACCTGCCGGGGTGGTGTCCGCGTTCGGGCTGTGGCCTCAGGGTGGGGGTCTCACTGCCTGGCTGAGATCAGAATCGCCCGGGAGCTTAAGCACCAGGTGCCTGCACCTCAGCTGGAGGTGCAGGTCCGGGAGTGGAGCCAGGCCCCTGGGTCCTTACCAAGCTCCCTGGGGACTCTAGCCCACAGGCAGGTCTGGGCACCGTCACCAGTGGGACACTGAAGCCCTGGTGTGGGGGGAGCTGGGCCCAGAAAACCAAATTCAATTGCGTGAAAGAAAGGAAACCAGCAAGATGCCGCCTGTGCTGCGGCACAGGCGCAGGAACGGTGGGAAAGAGCACCCACGTCGGGCAGAGAAGCAGCAGATCTCACCATCTGTCTCTCCATCTCCGCCTTAAGAGAGCAGTTGCTTACCGAGCCCCAGTCCTCTGCCCCAGGTCCTGTGATCACACAGTCCTCACAATAACCGGTGATACCAGGGATCAGGCACCCAGCCCCGAGCCCCAATAGTGTTGGGTGCCATAATGAGCTCTTTGTACAGCTGAGGAATTGGTTTTTTTAATCCTCACCCGGGTGTATTTCCCACTGCTTTTAGATAGCGTGAAGGGAGGTGGGGAGAAGAAGTGGGGGAGAAAAACATCAATGTGAGAGACACATCCATTGGTTGCCTCCTGCACAAGCCCTGACCGGGGGTCCAGCCTGCAACTGATACGTGCTTTTGAACAGGAATCGAACCCAAGACCTTTCGGTGTTCAGGCCAACGTTCTATCCACTGAGCACACCCGGGAGGGCCAGATGAGGAATATTAATCAGAGCGTGGAAGGGGCTCGCCTGGTCCAGGGCTGAGGGGCGGCAGACTCGGCGCTCCCTTCGACAGGGGAGCCACCATGAGCCGGGCACAGAAAGGACTCTGGGCCTGGCCTGAGCGTACAGGATGGTACGCACAGTGGAGGCACAGCAAGGGTGAAGGAACGTGGGCAGTGGAAATGCTGACATGGGTGTCATCGGGCCAAGGACTGCCTATGAGGACAGAAGAGGAGCCATTGGGTGTGGGGTCAGCTTCACGGATGAAGGTCACCTGGGCAGTCAGTGGTTCACTTATCAATCCAGAAGGAGCCCCCTCCCGCCCAGCACCTTCTTGGCGCTGGGGATGAAGGCCTGACCTCATTCATGCTGCTTTGGGCTCAGCCATGGGGCAGACCTTAGGGTTCTTGCCCAAATTATCACTTAGCTATGGGGACCTGACCTGGTCTGAGAGAACAGTGTGTGTGTGGTGACAAGGGGGGGGGGGTGTTAGTGGAAATGCCTCTAGGTGCAGCTCTGAGGTCGGCCTAAGAATTAAGGCAGTTCCAGGCAGAGGAACTACATGCACAGCGGCTCTGAGGACAGAGGAATCTTGGCTCTGGAAAACAGAATGGTGTGCATCGCGGCGGCTGCAGTTCACAGAGGAGGGGTGTTCCAGGGTAAGCCCGATGCTCTGTGTGCAGACAGTCATGAACCTCGAACCATTAGGCGGAGTTGGCGTCCGCCGGACAAAGACAGGAGACGTATTTCAGGCAGAGGGAACTCATAGGCAAAAGCTCAGGTCACAGAAGGATGTAGTCAACGGCCACCAATAAAGTGTGGGCCTCAACGCCTCCTCACCCTGCGGCAGCGCGGCACAGCATGAGGCTCCTGGGCGTCTGCCTCTGAGGACAGGGGACCGAGTCTGCAGAGAGAAGGCGCCCGGGGTAAAGGCCACAGCACCGAGGTCCCAGGACTGTCCTGGTGTGTGGGACCCCGGCCACGTCCCCTCCACATCGTAGCTGCCCTGGTCTCGCTGTGAAATGAGAAGGATGGACCAGGCTCATCTCTAAGGTGTATATTAGGTTTCAAATTTTCTCTAAAATAACATTAAGATCAACTCTGGAGAAAGTGGGAAGACCTTGAGGTATTATTATTAAGGTTTGTGAGATGATCGGTTAATTCTATTTCAATGTTTTAAAAACTCAGCAGAAACATTATTTCTCCCCGCCCCCCCCCCCGCCCCCCCCAAATTCAAACATCACAACAACATACATTTGATGAAAAGCAAGTGGTGGTGTTCGCCCGCCTCAGCCCATATGAACTATTTGGAAAACATGAGAATATGCAAAAAAAAAATAAAAAAAAAAATGCCTGTGGCTCAGCCAGGCTCACAGATGTATTGTGTTTGGCCACCAACGTTGTAACGTTTGGGAAAAACATTTGGTTGGCTTCTCTGAAAACTCAAAGTATCTGACTGCATCCAAACAGCAGCTTTCTCCGCTTCCCCACAGTCCTCACCATTCCCTACTGTGCACAGTTCACGGTTCTCTCACTAGAATGACCTGCCTCATTCCTGTTCTAGAAGCTTCCCTTGAATTTAAATATATATATATATATATATATATATATATATATATATATATATATATATTTAAATATCTCATATATCTCAAAACTCATATATATCTGTATGAGTTTTACACTTGGAGATTTTTCTCTGTCTGCATATAGATCTAGCTCCCCTTTTCAAGGCCATGTTTTATTCCACTGTCTGAATCTCTTACATTGATTTATCTAATTCCCTCTTGTTGTAGACATATAAAAGTTCCATTCTTTTTATAGTTTATGCTCTAAAGTTTTATAGAGTAAATACCTGGGAGTGGACTTATTGGGTAAATGTGTCTTATGTGCATTTTTTTTATTTTTATATTTTATTGATTTTGTACAGAGAGGAAGGGAGAGAAATAGAGAGTTAGAAACATCAACGAGAGAGTCATCGATCAGCTGCTTCTTGCACACCCCCTACTGGGGATATGCCCGCAACCAGGGTACATGCCCTTGACCGGAATTGAACCCAGGACCTTTCAGTCCCCAAGCCGACGCTCTATCCATTGAGCCAAACCGGTCCCGGCTTAGGAGCTCTTTATATAGGACTAGTTGCCCTGCACATGAATCCATGCGTCAGTAGCTCTTTGCGGGGCCTGGCTGCTCTGTGTCTGCTGCGGCTGGGCGCAAAACACTTGCCTCGTCACCACGGCGATGAAGCAAGCCTTCTGCCAGGCTGCTCATGCTGCCCACTCTCAGTGGCCATCCCCGGGGAGTGGGGGGACTCTGGCAGGGCTGAGAGGAGAGGACTGGGTGCCACCATCTTGTGGCTATGGACACCGCCATTTTTGTGACAGAGTGACAGTTAATTTGCTTATTACTCTTTTATTAGACAGGATGAACATTAGGCCTTAGTCATATATGCTGCAATTATCTTCTCCAGTTGTCTTTAAACTTTTCAATACACTGCTTTTACTTTGGAAAAATTTCAAGTTAATCTGCAACTACTTACATACTTCTTTTCCTTTAGGGGTGGGAGGGGGGAGTGTCCAAGACCTGTCTTCTTTGGTAGGCACAGTATTTTTATTTATTTATTTAAAAATGTGAATGTCTTTAGCTAAGGAATACGCAGGAACCCACAATGTCAGTGCTAACTCATAAATGGGTTACTTCATATTTTAAAAGTTTTCTGCCTGACCCCTTAAGACAGATTATATAGGTGTACTAATAAGTGTAAGTGTACGTGTGTGTGTGTGTGTGTGTGTGTGTGTGTGTATGTGTACACGTGTGTGTGTCTGTGTGTATAGTAATTACTCTAGGACTTTCATGGTGTCATATACAGTTAAATTTGGGATCCATCTACAATTTATTTTTGGTGGCGTGAACGGTACCACCCAGAACCGGGGTGACCTTTTCTGAGTTCCTGGTGGTAGCCAGGGAGGGAGGCAGCAATGCCTGCTTACAGGGTTAAAGACAAACAAACAAAAATCTCTCTCTCTCTCTCTCTCTCTCTCTCTCTTTTTTTATTCCTAATACAAATAATGCAAATGCAAAGACCATATCCATATTCCCATCACCCAAAATAACTATCTTTTGTTTTTTAACTGCAGTGCATTTCCTGCGGGTATTCTTCCTCTTAGTATTAGGTTTTTGCTTTAGAAACTTGTTGTTTTAATTTTGTTTTGTTTAACATGTGACAGCATTTACAACTGCGAACATTTATAACCGGACTCCCAACGCCTGCTGGGCGGCTGGCTTCCCCGCGGAGCTTGTTAAAAATAATGAACCAGCAGCCCCAGCGGGTGGGCCCTGGGAAACTGGACTTTTCACAAGTTCCAGGGCGGGTCTGGGTCCTGGCCCGCTCTGACCGGCTCCCCGCCCCGCCATACCTGTGATGGTCTGGGTCTCCGAGGTGATGGTCCGGGTGGTGGTCTGCGTCTGGGTGGCGGGCACCGTCTCCTCGGATACGAACTGGACGGTGCTGGGCGCCGCCCCGGCCGTGCCGGTCAGCTGGCAGCCGCTCTGCTTGTGCGCTACGAAGGCGTCCAAGTTGTTGAACTGCTGCTTGCAGATGCCGCAGATGTGGATGTCGGGGGTCAGCTCCACCAGCACCGTCGTGCCCCCAGGAACTCCATGGGACAAAGGGAAAGGAGCAGATTAACCCCAGCCAGTTTGACATTATCCAGTTTGGAAGACAGGGCATGGTGGCAGGCATGGCCAGTTGCCGGCTCACTGCCCATTCTACTTCCCTCTTCTTCCTTACAAACAGACTTCCGACTCTGTCCTAGCAGGAAGGTACCCAGACCCAAGTGATGGCTCATAACACGTCTCTGTCCTTAGGGGCACTCGTGGCATTTCACACGAGAATGTTCTTTATGTGCATGTCTGCCTGCACGTGGAAAAATCAGCAGCCATCTACTAGCCCAGCTAAAGAATGGGCATACCTCTTTCCCCCATAAGGATTAAAAAAAGATATCAAGAAAAAGAATGGTTGTACTTCCCAGTCATGAAAACTAATCCCTTGCCCCAGCTGGTTTGGATGGATCAGTGGATAGAGGCCTGCGGACTGAGGGTCCCAGGTTGGATTCTGGTTGAGCGCACATGCCTGGGGTACAGGCTTGGTCCCCATTAGGGGGCTGTGCAGGAGGCAGCTGATCGATGATTCTTTTTCATCATTGATGTTTCTATTTCCATCTCCCTTCCTCTCTGAAATCAATATATATATATATGTGTGTGTGTGTGTGTTATACATGTATATATAATATATATAACATATGTACGATATATATATATATATATATATATATTCCCTCCATATTTCTAAATCCTATCTATCTGTCTATCTGCCTGGACTGCAGGTGTGATAACAGGGCGTGTTCAGCCATACTGTAACTCTGAGGAAAATACGAAGGTGCCTGCAGATGCTGTATTTACTTCACTGATATCCTGAACCACCAATTCCAGGCTTCTCCTTAGGCTAGTGCAGATCAGTTCTGTTACTTATGGCCAAAATTCATCCCTAATTGACAATGTCTATGTAAATGCTCCCTGAATAAAGAAACACCACTAGTTAATAAGTCTAACATGAGATTCTTTTTTTTTAATTTTTATAAAAATAGATTTTATTGATTTTGTACAGATAGGAAGGGAGAGAGATAGAGAGTTAGAAACATCGATGAGAGAGAGTCATCGATCAGCTGCCTCTTGTACACCCCCTACTGGGGATATGCCCGCAACCAAGGTACATGCCCTTGACCGGAATCGAACTCGGGACCCTTCAGTCCCCAAGCCGACACTCTATCCATTGAGCCAAACCGGTTTCGGCTAACATGAGATTCTTAATCTTTATTTTAAAAAACTTGTCTTCTTATAAGGAAACTCATGTTTATAACAGAAGATTTAGAAGAGAAAAAGCATGTGTTCCATGAACATCACAAAAGATTTTTTCCATTCACCTTCAATTAAAAATTGTTTAAGATCATACTGTATTGTAAAATTAACCTTTCCCCCACATACCGCATAAGCATGGTGCGATGTATCTGTAAAAACAATTATGTAATAATACATTCACATTATTTCATGTTACCCACACTTCATAAATTTCAGTAATTCTACTAGGTCTTTATATTATTTCTAACTTTTTCCCATGCCTAAATTATATGAGACCTATTATTTTGCACATATATGGTTGGCATCCATGTATCAACTTTCTGAAAAAATTCCAAGACGATACATTATGTGCAATTTCCCCCAGGTCTAAGGAAGACAAGACATCTTTGTGGGGAAATGCGATGTGGTTGGTGGGCTGAGGAGCGTGCTGAGGCTGGGCGTGGCCACGCTTTACCGCCATCTTGCACTTAAGTACTTTGAAGCCAATGGATGGGAGGAAGGAAGGCTTTCCTTCAAAACCTCCGCACTGCTGCTGAGGTGCTGGGGGTGGGGGTGGGAGAACTAACTGGAAACAAGGGACCAAGAGATGACGGGACCTGCTTCAGGGCCATTCGGATGGAGGGGGAGAAGTTTCTGCTTCACAGTCTGGTTCCCAGGCCTGAACGAGATGGTGCTTGTGAAAGGCCAGCGGAGGGATCCCCAGCCCCCGCATGCCTCCCGGCTGGGTTATCACTGAGACACCCCACTTGTATCCCCCTCGGAAAATCTGGAGTGAGAGACCATACCAACCTTTGCAGTGAGAATGGACTGAAGTCAAATAATAATAATAATTAATAATAATAATGCCGGCACCGGTTTGGCTCAATGGATAGAGCATCGGCCTGCGGACTGAAAGGTCCCGGGTTTGATTCCGGTCAAGGGCATGTACCTTGGTTGCGGGACATCCCCAGTAGGGGGTGTGCAAGAGGCAGCTGGTCGATGACTCTCTCTCATCGATGTTTCTAACTCTCTATCCCTCTCTCTTCCTCTCTGTGAAAAATCAATAAAATATATTTTTAAAAAATAATTAAAATAATAATAAAACAACTCTGAGCACAGCTCATGCTCACCACCAACAAAAAGAATGTATTTCTCTTTGCAAAGTTCCCCAAACCTGTTTCAGCATCAGAATGATCTGGGGGAGGTGGGCTGGGGGTTTACCCTGGACACACCTGAGTCCCACTCCCAGAGGAGTCGTAAAGGAGGTGGGGTGAAGGGGCGCTGGGGTCGAGGAAAATCCGTGCTTTTCACAAATTATGCAAATTACAAATCCAAAGTCTCCCAAACTGTTAACGGGAACAGCTAACAGGCTAAGCGCTTACTAAGTGCCAGGTGTCTGCAAACCCCTGTGCCAGGCGTTCTCAAACTTTGCAAATGCTCCCGAATCTCCCAGGAAAAGGGGGTCTCTCCCCTCAAACCCCCATCAACCCTCCCCCCATCCTACCCCCCCACGGCAGCCCAGCACGGACCAGACGGGTGGGGCCCCGAGAGAGCTTCAGTTTTTTAAAACAAGCGCCGCGCTCCCAGGTGGCCGGCGCGTTGGTCCCCGGACCGCACTTGGGGAGACAATGCTCCGGGCGGGACCAGGGACCGCCAGTCTCACATGGAGAATAAACATGAACCCCAAACTCCGAGGAGCCACGACGGCTCCATTCCCCATTCAAATCCCCGCCTCTGATGGGGACCAGGCTTTGCCATAAGGCGGCGGCAAGCCCCGCCGGCCAGACCTCGTGGGACCCTCCGACCCCCGCACTTCCAGGGTCTGGGGCCCCCGAGGCAGAAGTTTAACCACCGGCGTCGCAGCGGTTACCCCGAATCTCCCAAACTCCACCGGGGAGGGGGGGGGGAATGGAGGGGAGCACGGTCCGGGGAATGCCCCAAGCGGGTGGCGATTGTCTGGACGGCATGCCCTCCCTCCCCCACCGTCCCCTTCCGAGGGGTCTGGGAACCGGAGGGCGCCCCCCGCCTGGCGCCGCGCGGGGCGCCCGCACCCCAAACCCGCCCCGGCGCCCCCCGCCCGGCGCGCCCGCCGCGGTCCCCGGGAGCAGGCGCGGCGGCGTCACCCCGATTTCGGGGCCCCGGGCCTGCCGGCTGCGCGCGGACGGGCCGGGCCCGGGCCCCGGAGCGCGCACGGCGCCGCCGGGAGGCACTTACTCTGCACGGAGCCCGGGAAGCTCTCGCCCTCGCCGGCCGCGTTCATGGCCGCACACGGGGGGTCCCGGCCGGCGATGGGGCGGGGGGCACGGGGCTACATGGTGGAGGGCTTTTCCTTTATTTTTCCACCCCCCCCCCCGCCTTCCTCCCCCCACTCCGGGGCGGGAGGACGGATGTGCGGCGAGCGCCACTTCCGCTGCCTAGAGGGCGCTCGGCCGGCCCAGCTGCAGAGCGGCTCCCGGGCGCCGCGCCCCGGCTCCCGCCCCGGCCCCGGCCCCGGATCGCGGGGTCCCCAGGGACCCAGGCGGCGCCCCGCGTCCCGGAGGGGAGGGCGGACCCGGGCGGGAGGGCTGTGCCCATTCCCGCAGCCCTGCGGTCCGGGCCGATGGATGCGTCTGGCCTCCCCGGCCCGGGCGCCTCTGCACCTGCCGCCCTGGGCGCCGGGGCCCCGAGGGGGCGGCCGCGCACCCCAGGGATGGGGGGCCGGGTGGCGGAGCGGCCGCCTCGGGCTGCGGTGCTGGGTGGGCGCTGCGGGGGGCCCGGGAGCCAGCGCGGCTGAGGTCAGCGCGCAGCTAACGGGGCGCCGGTGGGAACCGGTGAGATAGGGGACCGGGATCATGTGGAGAGACTGACACGGGGGGCGAATTCTGACAGCCCCCCCTCCCCCCCCGCCGCCCCAGAGACCTGCTTGCGGACCTTCCGGGCGGTCAGAGCAGTCTGCGGGGCCCGCTCCAGAGTTTTGACTCAGGAGGGCCGGGATGAGGCCTGGGGACGAGCATTTCTCGATTCCCAGGGGAAGTCCCTGCTTAGAGAGATCATCCCTGGCTTGTCCAGTCTCATACTGCGGCCCTCTCCCCCCCACCTACCGCCTTGACTTTAATATATATATATATATATATATATATATATATATATATATATATATTTGAAATTTTTTTTAAATCAATCTTTATTGTTCATATTATTACAAAGGTTCCTCATTTCTTCCCCCCTCCACCAGGTTCCCACCCCACCCTCTGCCCCCTCCCCATCCCCCATTGTTCTCATCCATAGGTGCAGTTTATGTTCAGTCTCTTCTTCCCTCAATTTCCCCAATAGTAAATCCCTTTTCAGATAGTAAATCAGTTACTTAACATTGGGAAATGTCTTTTGTGTGAAGTGTATATTTGAATTTTTACAGAGAGGAAAGGAGAGGGAGAGAGAGTTAGAAACATTGAGAGAAACATCGATCAGCTGCCTCCTGCACACGCCCTACTGGGGATGTGCCTGCAACCAAGGTGCATGCCCCTCGACTGGAACCGAACCTGGGACCCTTGAGTCTGCAGGCTGACGCTCTATCCACTGAGCCAAACTAGTTAGGGCTAGCTTTCTCATTAGAACTCATTATATCTAACTTTATACTATCTGGGAGTCTGTGTATGTATATCCATCTATGTGTCTGACAGATCATAATTTATTTGTGTATTACATTTCCCCTTCCCCCTGACATTCAATAAGTCCCCTTGAAGGTGGGATTTTTTTTTTTTTTTTTCTATTTTAGAAATCTCTGCTTCACTGATATATCTGTCCGCCGCAACTTGGCCGAGAGCCTGGCACAGAACAGGCCCTGGGTAAATAATGTTGTAACTAATGGAATAGCCTCTATGCTTCCTTTAAGGGTGTGCCCCTTCCCCTAGGGCAGTGGTCGGCAAACTGTGGCTGGGGAGCCACATTTGGCTCTTTGGCCCCTTGAGTGTGGCTCTTCCACAAAATACCATGGCCTGGGCGAGTCTATTTTGAAGAAGTGGCGCTAAAAGAAGTTTAAGTTTAAAAAACTTGGCTCTCAAAAGAAATTTCAATATGTGTACTGTTGATATTTGGCTCTGTTGACTAATGAGTTTGCCCACCACTGCCCTCGGGACTCTGTCTATAAGTCTTTGCAGTGTGCTGGGCGCTGTGCTAGACCTCGGAGGTCAGGGGTGATCCAAAAAGAGAGCTTTGCGAGTGGCTAGCACTGCTCATCACATCAGCAGGGTTCTTGCTTGACAGTGATGAGGTCTCAGAAGACATAAGACAAGGACGTGCTGTGGGCATGGTCAAGGAAGGCCTCTCTGAGCAGGTACTAGAGTGGGGATGCAGGACAGCAGAGCAAGAGCCCTGAGGCAGGGATGAGCTAGGTGTGGATTGGCTGTTGTCCTCCAGCCCAGCTTCCTGCCGGCCAGTCCTCTCCTGCTGTGCCCAGGCCCCTACCACAGCCTCCCAGCTGTTGTTCAAACACCAGCTCTCCCTGCCCCTGAGGCCCTCTCTCTGCTTTGCCCTGGTCTTTGCAGGACTAACTTCTTTCTGCCAGTCAGGGCCAAACGGAATGTCCCTTTCCAGGGAGGCTTTCCTGTGTCTTATGGAAAGCACCTGCCCCAGAGGGACTCTACCAGGCCACCTTCCTTTTCAAAAAAATATATATTTTATTGATTTTTTACAGAGAGGAAGAGAGGGGGATAGAGAGTTAGGAACATCCATCAGCTGCCTCTTGCACATCTCCTACTGGGAATGTGCCCGCAACCAAGGTACATGCCCTTGACCGGAATCGAACCTGGGACCCTTCAGTCCGCAGGCCGACACTCTATCCATTGAGCCAAACCTGTTTCGGCAGGCCACCTTCCTTATACCTGTCCCTAAGGAACACGACTAAAAATGTGTGCTGCGGAGGACAATATTTGTTTCTCATTGCTTATATATATATATACTAGAAGCCCAGGGCACATATTCATGCACATTGAAAGGAAATTAGTTAGAAGAAATATTTTAGGGTCTGAGGAGGGATCAAGGGGGGCTCTAGGACATGTCCAGCCCAGTTCCCATTGGCCAGACCCCAGCAGCAAGCTAACCTACTGGTTGGAGTGTCTACCCCCTGGTGGTCAGTGTGTGTCATAGTAACTGGTCGAACAGTCGGACACTTAGCATATTAGGCTTTCATATATATAGATATGTGAGTGTGTGTGTGTATTGTACTCATGTATTTTATAAAATTATGACTAAAACTTACATGCTATTTTTAAATCTTCTTTGGGGATATATATTATGACCATTACGTAGGCAAGTTGTATGTAGTCCAGGTTGCTAATTTCTTTTTCTTTTTCTTTTTTCTTTTTTTTTTTTTTTTTTTTTCATAAGCCTGAATATCCATTTGCTAGGTCGTTGCCCTTGTGCTCTATGTATAAGAATTTATTAAAAATTTCCAGCTGGCTAACTTTTTATTTTTTATATTATTGATTTTAGAGAAGGAAGAAGAGGGAGAGAGATATAGAAACACCATTGATGAGAGCGATTCATTGATAGGCTGCCTCCCGCACGCCCCACACTGGGGATCGAGCCCACAACCCAGGCATGTACCATCAAACCGTGACCTCCTGGTTCATAGGTTGACGCTCAGCCACTGAGCCACACTGGCCGGGCCGCTAACTTCTTTATGGAGATGTCAACTAGACTGCCTACTTCTGAGCTTCACAAGAAATGCATATTTATCTTGTGTCAGCTTCTGTTATTTGTGTGTGTTGTTTCTTTCACATGCAGCTGAATAAAGCCTAATCAAACGCCACACGATGCATACTGTTTCATAACGGCTTTGATTCTGAAGCGTTTTCACAGTTTGGTTGGTGTGTTAGGAGGTCCTGTGTAGAAGTTAATGTGCAGACACACCAACCCCGCTTGTGGACACTGCTTCGGAGGGCCAGCTGTGAAGTCTGGTACACGTGACAAGCTCCCCGGGTGAACCTGGGCACTTGATACTTGCAAACCTCCGCTTCCCACTCTTGTCATGGTTGCATAATATTTCATTCTAAGGTTGCATCGTGATTCATTTTGGGTGCTATTGGTGCCAGTGGTTTTTTGGGTGTAGATAACATATCGGCAGTGGCTTTGTTATCGGTCGGTGTGAGCACGTGTCCACGCCAGCCATTCTGAGCAGAGCTGCAGGATCCGATGTTCCAACACCAGAGGGAAGGGCGTTTTCCTCCTCTCCCCCTTCAGATCGCTCTTCCAATGCGGGTTCCTTCCAGACTGACTTGCTCAGGGAGGATGACATTTCTTACAAAGCTAACAGCCTTTGTTTGACTAGAATGTGCATGGTTTATTCTGTTCTCCAGTTTTTTACCTCTTCCCATTTAATAGATGAAATACAATTTAGAAATGGCAACCTTCCTTTGAGGTTCAGACATATGGGCAATCCTACCCCATGTTCAAAATCTAGAATGTAAAATAAATTTAAATCTGTTGCCAATGCTTAAAAGATGATAGATCTCTCATAAAAATCGGGATTTGGAAAGTTTTTTTTTTTTTTTTTTTTTAAGTGTAAAGATCTGGCAAATCTGAGCATGGATTATCTTGTAGTAACACGTGGCTGCGCGGAGTCTGGTCTCTCCTGTTTGCCCCCTCCTGCCTACACTTCTTTAAATATACTTTTATTGATCTCAGAGAGGAAAAGACAGGGAGAGAGAGAAAGGAGAGAGAGAGAGAGAGAGAGAGAGAGAGAGAGAGAGAGAGAGAGAGAGAGAGAGAGAGAAGAGAGAAGAGAGAAGCATAAATGATGAGAATCACCGATTGGCTGCATCCTGCATGCCCCTTACTAGGGATCAAGCCAGAAACCCGGGCACGTGCCCCTGACTAGAATCGAATCCCTGACCCTTCACTCCGCAGTCAGACACTCTATCCACTGAGCCATACCAGCCAGGGCCTCCCTACACTTCTGACATAAGCCTGAATATCCGTTTGCTAGGTCACTGCCCTTGTGCTTCATGTATTTGAATTTATTCAAAATTTCCCACGTGTTTCTAATAGAAGACGGGAGTTATCCTTGCCTATGGTTTAAACTTTTCTTTCAACTGAAAATCTCTACCAAGGAATTACCAGCATCATGTGTGCGATGTCATTCAATGTCTGAAAAGCAGAAAAGTGACGCTTCCCACTATTTTAAGGATGCAGAACCTGAGTGTCACAAGCGTTAAATAAATTCCCTCCCGTCAAAAGGCCAGGGAGGACTAGCTCAGTGAAGCATCTTTGAGGACAAGTAGC